AATTCACCAAGAAAAATGTTAAGGATTGGTCCAGGATGATTGCTCTATGCAAAATGTACTTTTATTTGGGACTTTTCAAGTTATACCTAGTGTAAATTTATTTGCTATCATGCTATACTTTAGGCATTGTTTAAAAGACATCCTGAGTCTCCATGGATCAATTCAAAAGGATGGTAGCATTTTTTCTTCTTGCAGAAAAGAAGGACCAATGTTGTAGATACTTGTTTACTTCCAGAAAAACTCTGGAAATTAGCTTCTACGGACATCATGCAATGTTCATTTTAATATTTCTACCAACCTTTGTATTATACACACTACAAACATTGATGGGGAGTCATTTTACCTCATTCCAACAAATATATTGAGTGAAAAATACATAAAATGGAGAACAGGTTCAAATTTACCTTTTAGAGGAGGATATAAAATTTTCTAGCCCAGAGACTTTATGAAGCTTATAACAATAGCAGGGAGATCCAGTGTTCAAAATATCTCTTCCTCAAGTTGTGAATTGCTTTCAGTAGGTTGCAGTCATTCAGAATTTCCCACTCTGTTACATCCCATTTTTGGCACTTGTCACAGTCAATTCCCTGCCTTATCATGACTTTTCACTTGTTCATCCCCAGACTTGGTATGTACAATCTACACCCTTTTGGCTATGTTTCATACACCAGACTGTAGTTCTCAAAATGTTTGGTTCTTGCGTTACAGGACTAACTTTGTCCAAAAAATGATGGGACATTCTTTTTGCCCAGTCAGTGTAGATTTGGTAGCATTCTCAACCCTCAAAAGAAATTCACAAGAATAAAAGGGGTGTCTGCTATCCTTTCCTTCATATTGTTTTGAACCACATGAACCACAGGAATTTGTGCACTGATCCTTGTTAATTCAACCTCCACATCCTTTTTTTTCACACTTCCAACATTTCCTTGCTGCATGTTTTATACTATGGACTGTCACAGAGGATTCAGAGATAAATTTTGAAATTAGAATTTCTCAATAGGTTGACCTTCATCTGGTTTGATTTCAAAGAACTTAAATGGATATATACAATTTATCTGTGGATTTTAATAGTTTTATATCTGTGACACTTTAGCTCAAATTTCCCACTCATTTTTAAAAATGATATTAGTACACTTGTAACACATTACACTCTAGAGAAATGTAACATCTCTGGTATACCATAAAAAAAAGATCTCATCTGAAGGCACATGATTGCTTTCAAAATTTTGATTTTGGCAAGTGGATCAGGTGTTATTAATCCTGTGTAGATTTTTTATTTTTCTGTTGGGTATCCAGCATGTGTGTCTACCCTGAGTTATTATTCTCACCAGGCAATACACTTGGTCCTGCAACTGAAATATTTTCAGGTGGAAAAGGCATATTATAGAGCATTGCTTGGTTTTGATAGTGTAATGGCTGGTAATTAGTTGCTTTCCTGATGATGAGGGCTGGGCCACTGGTAGAGTTTATTCCAATATGTTTGTGAAGCTCAGGGTTTGAATTTGAGAGCTTTAACTCCTTTGCATTGAGATCTAGTCTCTGCCAGATTACATGTGTGCAGTTACTTTAGATGTTCCCCAAGCTGAAATTACAGTTACGAGTCCTCTGAGTTTACGAAGAGACTCGTTTATTACCCAGGATCTCAGGACTTTTTTCAGCGCGGTAACGCTGAAATTTGACTTTCTCCCATGAAAGTGATTTCTTCCCACAATCATTTGCTTGGTTCGCCTACATGACTTTCCTAGTCTACTTGACCATTCCTTGATTATTACTGTCTTTTAGCCCTATCCAGGTTGTCGTTGATGTAGCTTGTGGCTAATATATTGCTCTATTTGGCTTCCAGACTCTGATGAATGAATGCATTGCCTCTATTTTCATGTTCATGCAACTCACTTTGTTTACATTGAAGGTACAACAATTAAGGTCCTGACAACTTGTGCAAATGAGCCCATGCTCTGGTGAAACAGGCCACAGGAATGTACTGAGCAGTTGGTGAGCATAAGGCAAAAAAGCGAAAATACAAACCTACTTACCTGGATGGGAACTCAACCATTTTGTAAATGGCTTTGTGGAGCATGTTTGTGGAGTGCGTAGGTATTGAATTGAGTCCATGCCCATGCGAAATGGACCACAGAAAGGTACTGAACAATTGGTGAGCATACATCAGGAAAAGGTGATTTCTCCGATAGATCGCCGGTTAGTTCTGTAGCCAGATATAGAAAAAGTAGGCACTGTATTTTAGCCGGCGCAATATGTAACTGCATTGGTCATGATAGCATGGCCTTGTCATTTGATAGTACCTAGAGCTGATGAGGAAGCAATATCTTATTAGTTAGATGAATAGTTACAGCAAGATCTATGTTGGCTATCAATGCTATGGATTTTGTATCTACAGTTTCTCTACCCCCCGAAACACACCGGTGTAATGGGTAGGATTACTGGTTGACCCATCCATTCCCTTCTTACTGGTATTTCCGATTCTACGTAGTCACTCAGTCACAGTAGTCACGCTTACATACAATTCCCTCAGTCACACGTGTAGTAAGGTATCTTTTTAACCATCATTCTTTTCACGGCTTGCAGCCCTCGAGCATCGTCTTCACGACTCGACTACACGCGTGATAGGGATATAGTATCAAGGTCAGTAGCATAGTGATTCATTCGAGGAGAGCTCGTGACTCTCCAGTGGTACTGATACTTTTCTCTCTCTCTCATCAATCCTTAAAGTCTTGCTACACTTTCCTGCGGCTTTCCGAGGAAAGAGAGTACGTCTACGCTCGTGGCATTCCAGAGCATCAGTAGCGTCTCGCGTAGTAAGATTGACTCTTGTCTCAGATCTGACCTTCATCAGAGGTCTATACACCAGTGCAGCAACTCTGTCACACCGAAAGCTCGCCAGACTCACTCGTCGTTGTTACTCGGATATCGTGAATAGGCGTTAATCCTCTAACAGGTTCCTACAAAGGTGGACACTGTGGGAACCAACGACAGCCTGGCCGGCTTAGACATATCTGTGGAAGAGGATCTTAGAGCGGAAGCGAGAGAAGGTCGATCCGAAGGTTCTAGGCGTCAGAGACCTATCAAGGGAGCTCCTCCTTCGTCGTTAAGTCAACCTATACTCTCCGATCACTCACAATCTTCCTCCCCAACCAAACCAACCAGGACTCCTTCCGGTTCAGTAACTAGAAACCACCCGACTTCGAAAGCGAGAGGTCTACCGACTCCCGCAACATCCCGACATCCTCTTCCTAAAAAAGGACCCGGAGCGATCCATAAAACTTTCAACGACTTCAGTGTATTACGGGGCGACACTCCACTTAGAGGGAATTCTGCTATAATCGGTCGAGGACGAGCGGTCGGATTCAAACATCACCCATTCCTTCCACGATCTGTCGCCGATACATCTTCCCCTTCTTCGAGCTTCCAACCACGACTCCCTTCTACGGAGCCTCGTTATACATCTAACTCTTACCGGGCGTTTGAATTTAAGACCCCCGCTCCTATATCACCAACTACGGACGTTAGCGTTACTGGAGAGATTCTACCTTCTTCCTCCATATCTCAGCAACTTGACTTTCCTCCCGCCGTAAACGTAGAATCCCCTTATCCTACGAAAGATTTTACAGACATGAGTTCTACCATAGAATCTTCGTCGCAAACTTTTCGCCTCGAAGCCCAGAGGGGATACGAAGGATCTCCTATGGCCAGGCTTATGGCCCAATATAGAGCTTCAAGCGACGACGACATTTCAACTTACCAACGAGCCATCAACCTGTCCTCGAAGAATTATTTACTTCAAGACGAGACTGTAGAACTAAGAGGACCTCAAAGAAGTTATGCCTTAAAACCAGCGCTATTAGAGCAGGTGGAACAAGTAGTGGGTGAATTACAGATCTTTTTAGAAAGAACGTCTGCTTTAATTCCAGAGCGAACGTCCTACTACAAAGTAGACCCCAAGGACACATTTTTGCCTATACTGCGAGAATCTTCTGACGTCATGCAGATCCATGCTGCTTGGTTAGGACTTTCTACACGATTACGCCGCGCGCAAGACAATTTAACGAAATATGAATTACAATATCGTAGCGCTCTACCGGGAGAGAACGTGTCCATGCCCACTTCTCCCATCTCAACAGATGTCGGCATCTACGACGCTATGGAAGATCTAGACAGGTTAGACCTCCGTCTGAGATATTTCTACGACAACGTACCACATCATCAAGACCAGGTGAAATCTCCCCAGAAGCTGAGAGACGGAGCTCCCTGGGCTGAGGTTCTCTCGTTTCCTAACCTTCCTCAACAACCTTCTCAGAGTTCTCAGAATAAACTGCCAACTATTGTCGAATACTCGACGGAGGAGCAAGAGCCTAAGGCGGATTCTAGGGATAAGAAAGGGAAACATCGAATAACAGATGAATTTGCGAATAGCCCTAGTCCTCCCACATCTCCACGAATTCTAAACGTAGGATATGGCACACCATTCAAGTCGAGTTCTCAGTTTTTCGTTAGACCAGGAGGAGTTCCTTTACCACCTCCGAACACTATGTACCAACAAAACGTGTTAGTCGGCTTGGGTTTACCGAGCACTCCTGCGTTCGAGAATATCTCTACCTCGAAAGGAGGCCAACCCTCATCAATGATCGACGCTCCCATCAAGTCGCGAGCATCTAACCCTTTCGAAGGACGGCCCTTGCCTCCTCATATGAGCAACGATGCCCATCAAACTCGGGGCGACCCAGTTCTTCCATCCTCAAGTCGACAAAACACGGGTACCGCTGGTAATCTTGTACAACGTACTAGCGAAAGAAGATCTGGGAGGAGCTCTTCCAGGGATCATTCGAGATCGACGGACAACCGGAGAGGGAGACATCGTAATAATCATCCTGAAGGGGACCCAGATGGATCTGATGACGACAGCGCCGACGGGCAACCCCCGAGAAATCCTGGCAATCGAGGCCCTAACGATCCGCCTTCCAATGCCCCGGGCGGAGGAGGCGGCGGCGGAAACCCAGGAGGAGGGGGAGGAGGACATGACCCATATACGAATAATTCCAACCCAAACGCTCAACCACAGGGAAATATCCCTTATGGAAATCTAGTCGCTACGATCAGAAACGAATTAAAGCAAGATCAATTACCTGTTTGGGACGGTAACAAGGATACCGCTATCGAGTACTTCTGGAAGATTCAGCAGTTGGCGGCTCTTGAAGGAGACATTCCTGTAGCTCTCGGGTACTGGTTATGGAAGAGTCTGAAGGAGAATTCCAAAATCTGGATGTGGTTTACTACGTTACCATTCGCAGAGCAATCTAAGATGAGAACTCATTACTTACATTACCTCAAAGGGATCAAGGACAACTATTTGGGTCGGACATGGCAGATTGGCATGAACAGAAAATACGAGAGTCAGTCTTTCCGTCAAGAAGGATTCGAAAGAGAATCTCCCCCCGCTTTCATCGTCCGACGTATTATGTACACGCGAATGTTAGTCGCGTCCGATGACGGAGGACCGACTGAAGTCTACTTAGTAATGCAGAAAGCTCCGATTTCATGGGGGCCTATTCTGAATCTCGAGACAATTCGTTCGACCTCCCTACTATATTCAAGAGCAACGGATCACGAATTGGCGTTGGTTCACGCGGCGAAACATGAAGCTTCAAATGTAGTCACATCAGATAACTTGCTTTACACTCTTCGCAAGTTAGGAATATCGGTGGATCGTAATCGTCCGTATGAACGCTCGGCTAAGCTAGCCGCAAGCAAGGATCAGGCGAAGGAGTCCGATGAAGTAATTCACGAATCGTTCCTTGGTCAACTCAGTCGAGAAGAATGCTTGCAAGAAATAACTTCAAACCTTGAAAGCATGAAGGAAGCCTTTCAAGTGCTGAAGAAGAGACAACGGCCCCCTCCAAAGGGAGGATACCCCTACAGTAAGAATGATCACGTCACTACCAAAATGGGTCGATTGCCACCATCGCCTTGTAAAGTGTGCGGTAGTGATAATCATTGGGACAAAGAGTGTCCGGATTGGTCGATTTACGAAGCGAAGCAACAAAAAGCAGCTTACAAGATTGAGACGTGCGAAGAGGAAGACCTAGAAGGTTACTATAGCAGCGTTTACTCGATCTTAGTGGCTGAACGACTAGCCGCGGAAAATAAATCAAGTGCTGACCCTTCGGATTTTGATGAGGCGGTTCTAAAAGAAGAAATGAATTCCTTCTCAAGAGAACATAAGTCCGGCGTCAACACTCCCTGGAAGAAACAAACGGTCTTTATGGAAGAAGAGGAAGATGAGTTCTGGCAGGCGTACCGAGCAAAGGAAAAGTCGAACTCACACCTTTTGTACCGAATGGACGAGGAAGACGAAGATTCTTTAGTAAAGGAATCCTTCCTTTCGCATAAGGAAAAGCCTTCACCCTCCTCGGAACCGGAAGTGGAGAAAGATCCTCCCAGAGAAGTGAAAGACCCTCCGGACGGAAACAAGCCAAGAGAGGTAAAAGACCCTCCAAGCAACATCAAGGAAGACGTTCCGATTCCGCCGCCCACCAAAGAGAAGTTGTTCAGAGTACCCAAAGCGAGGTCCCGTCCAGAAGGGATGTCTGCAGTAGGAATATCAGTTCTATCGACTAGAGGATTCGTCGGAGGATTGAATAATGCTGAGACTGACCTCAGGTTGGACTCATGCGCGGACATTACTCTGATATCTCACGAGTTCTACAATGAACTACTTTCAAAACCTTCCATCAAACAAGGCATGAGAATGAAGTTATGGCAGTTAACGGATAAAGACTCACAGCTGAAAGGGTTCGTACGCATTCCGATTTTTATGACTACAGTAGAAGGGGATGTGGTGGAAACCGAAGCGGAGGCCTATGTGGTTCCAGGAATGACAGTCCCGATATTGCTCGGAGAGGACTATCAGCAAACGTATGAGCTAAACGTCACGCGTAACGTGGAGGAAGGAACGCACGTTTCATTTGGCAGGCATGGTCACCGAATCCGAGCGATTCCAGTCGAGAGAACTAAGGACTTTGGGCGTTTGCGTCAAAGTGCATACATGGTGGGACAATATGTTAGACGACAATTCCATAGAAGGAATAAGACCAAGAGACACCGTC